TGCATTGGTGTTACACAGCGGTAGTTAAGCCGATATTGCTCTACGGTGCTCTGGTATGGTGGACCGCTGCAAACAAAATTTCGTATAGAAAACCATTGGAGCGATTACAGCGGCTCGCTGCACTGTGCATAACAGGAGCGCTAAGGACCACTCCAACGGCGGCACTTGAAAGGCTACTTGGCCTACCACCAATCGACATCGCGGTGGAGAGCACTGCAGCGAAATCCGCCACGAGATTGATGGCCTTAGGTGAATTCTCCGCAAGAACCTTCGGGCACAGCTCGATATGCAGGGGGATGGAGGACAAAATAGACCACATACCCCCACGCTTCATCTGGGGAAGAAGGTTTAAAGCTACGGTTAAGGAGGGCGGATGGCGCATGAGCACGCGACCCGCCGGCGTAACGTATAACATCTACACGGATGGATCAAAAATGGCTGATGGAGTGGGCGCCGGAGTCTATTGCGCCGAGCTAGACCTCAGGCAACCCTTCAAGCTTCCAGAGTACTGCAGTATTTTCCAGGCGGAAGTCTTCGCTGTAGGGAAAGCTGCTGAGATAGCTAGCAACGCAGGAAATTATATAAAAAATATCAATATATATGTCGATAGCCAGGCGGCGATTAAGGCCATAATCTCACATCGTATTGCGTCAGAAAATGTCCTTAGAAGCAGGGAAGCAGTAGACAGGGCGGCCGAGAGTAAACGGCTGCATATATACTGGGTTCCAGGCCACAAGGGCATTTTAGGCAACGAAATAGCTGATGAGATTGCCAAAAGTGCCATCCGTCTTGCTAGCGAACCAGTACGGGAAATACAAAAGTCGCTAAAAACGATCTACAATGAAATTTCCGAAAGAGCTGGGTGCCGGATCAGGGGGAGATGGAACGCATTAGCGACATGCAAAACCACCAAGATCATGTGCAATAGCAGCAAAGGAAACACCCATTTCTTGCTTACACGGTCACGTAGGGATTGCAGGACAGTTGTCGGCCTAATGACGGGCCACAACCTACTGGCATCCCACGCAAGCAGAATGGGCATTAGTAACAGTGACGCATGCAGGAAGTGCAGGGAGGAAGGCATGAGTGAGACGTTAGAACACCTCCTCTGTTTCTGTCCGGCCTTAGCTAGAAATCGTCTTAGTTATCTCGGAGCTTCGCAGTTTAAAGGACTAGAGGAGGTTTCAAAACTGGATATTAAGGCACTCTTGAACTTCGCAAAAAGCGTTGACGTCCTATACGACGACTACTTTAGACCGCAGTAAAACGGACCTCCATCTGGCACTACAAAGGACCAACGGGTCTATGTAAGGCGCAACAGCCGGCCAGTGTAACCTAACCTAACCTATACTATACTTAAATGCGAAGATGTCGTCAGAAAATCGAAAAAGTTACCGTTTTTAAAATCGGCACTTGCTGCGATTTTGAACTACACGTATTCTAACTCGGGAACACTCCCCCAAAATAGTCTAATCGGAAATTTCATCGTTCCAGACCGATTCAGTTGAATCTGGTTCAAGGACACCGTGCAGGGTAGCCAACTCATTTTTGAGAACTCCCCGATTTCAACAGTGAAATTCCCCGATTTTGCCCGAAATTTCTCTCCTTATTTTCAAAAAAAAAAAAAAATACATATGTAAATATGTATTTTGATACACTGCTGGTCTTTCTGTTTATTTTATTTTTAAATGTAATTCATCTATGCATTCATAAACGAAACCAAACTTTTATAAAGCTAGTTGACAAATAAAGAATAAAACATGTACATACAAAATTTACATACATAGAGTGGTTAAAAAATTTTAGTCGCACCAAATTTTGACAAGATTTCACAATTACTTTTTTTGTTATTTAATTTTAGTTATTTTTTATAAAAATATTGTTCATTCTTTAAGGAAACCCGCGCAAATTCAAGATTCAAACTTTGTGAAATATTTAAAAAGAAATCAACAAACTTTTGTAAAAATTTCGAGCTTTTTTCCGAAGGTGTTGCCGTTTTCTTCGATATAAAACTAAATTGTGTTTATTCGTTATATGAAAACAAATGCGACAAAGAAAATTCAAAAAAATCACCGGTAATTTTTAGCCATTTGAAACTTTATTATACTAGAATTGAACGAGATGTAGTTTTTGGCATCTAATGAATGTAAAATTATGTACATATATATTACCTTGTTTATACCAACACAAAAAAAGCTTTGACCCAGTTCGCTGTTATTCAAAACGGAAGCATAAACGAACTTTCAATACGCCCAGAAATTCAAAAGTGTATTGACTCGAATTTGTTTTCAAATCGCTTTTTTATTTCTCAGATCGGTTAGAAAACAAGTATAAACACATCACTCATTTGACGCGAAGTGAAAAAAGGCTGGTTTTCTTTATACAACCCGTTTTGAATTTGAGTTCTTATTATAACGAATTTTAATTCTTGTTCTCTTCCATTTCGGTCCACTGCGCTAATTAATTATTTAAAAAATAACGAATAAAAGTAATACATTTTGTTTACTTTTGAATACGGTTTCAGCAAGTGCGCTATAACAACCCGGGTATAAATGCTTGAAAGATACATATATGTGTTGAGTCAAATCATGCTTTTGTTAATGCGGTTCTAGCGTAGGTATAAACAAGGTATATGATTGCGATTTGCTATTGTTTAATATTTACCTTTGAAAGAAACGAAAAGCAAAAAAATCACAGCCGATGGCGGCAAAAATAGAAATTTCAAATAAAAAGTTGTAAATAGAGCTTCCATTGTTCCTATTCGTTGCCAGATTTGAATATTTAATAACTCAGGGCTACATAATCAGTACTTTTAGTTACAGTTGCACTTCTTATGCAACTTTTTAAACTCATTAAGGGTATTCATCAAACCTTATAAATGTATTGTAAACCGTATAAACTTATAATTGTGTAAACCTTATAAATGAACTGTCAAAATTTGTATGAAAACACGTTTACACATTTCTGATAAATTTATCCAGCGATTTCACTGAATAAACTTGATAAACTGAAGCCAATGCAACTCTGTCGCAACTCTAGCTATGTTTTCTTGGGCAATAATCGGGATCCTCATACAAATTTTGCACGCAAATTCAACAACGATATGATCCTGATAGAGATCTGGTTCAATTATTATCCCGTCTGTTTGTTTGTTTTGTTTCACTGATAATTTGGCCGCAAAGTTAGCGAGGTAGTTTCTATAATTTCTTTATCCCCGTGCTAGTAGTATAAAGTTAGTGATACTGAGCTCTATGACCAAAGAAAACGCGACTATTTTCGCATGTGTAAACGAAAAGAGAGTGTGGGTCGTTCATGTAACAGAGTGCGTAAACTTATAAGATTATCTGTTTGATAAAGTTATCGGTTTAGATGAATACCACTAATATAAAACTGATGATTTTTTATTTCAAATTATTTCACAGTTTTACAGCTCTGGGAAGTACATCCATACATATGTATGTATGTATCAGGGTTGTTGCGAATATTATTCCGAAATAAAAGTCCTTTCCTTNTTATAAGATTATCTGTTTGATAAAGTTATCGGTTTAGATGAATACCACTAATATAAAACTGATGATTTTTTATTTCAAATTATTTCACAGTTTTACAGCTCTGGGAAGTACATCCATACATATGTATGTATGTATCAGGGTTGTTGCGAATATTATTCCGAAATAAAAGTCCTTTCCTTTAATAAACAAACCGCTTATCCAAATTAAACAAGTTTGGTTTCAAATGAAAGAGGACTTAAATAGCTTTAAAACTGAAGTGTCTAAATGAGGAAAGCCACACATTAAAAAATATTTCAATAAAAAAATGTTATTTAATTGCCATAGGACAAACCTTGTGTCAGGTATATGAATTTCTTTAGTATTAAATTATAAAAAATATATAAATAGAGGTGGTTCGTTATTTCTGTTTAACGGCTATTTCAGTCCTCTTTCATATGATACCAAATTTGTTTAATTTGGACAGGCGGTTTGTTTATTATTCGGAAAGGACTTTTATTTGGGAATAATATTCGTAACAACCCCGGTATGTATGTTCGTATATACGTATATACATATATGTATGTGTACAAAATTATTCATACGTCCGATACATATCTATCATCAAGACGAAGCTCAAAAAGCTTTTCATCATATTTAGTTTTACTAAAAATTATTTTAACTCTAGCAAAGTCACAAACCCAGACGTATAATTACCGCTAGTTGCCACAGTCTCGCCACCAGGGTACTTAAAGTTGTTGTCTTGGCTTTTAAAGTAGTACTAGTATATGGACTCAATAAGCAGTGAAGTAAACCAAAACATAAAAACAAACAAAAGCCAAAGGCAGCACTAACTACGAATGCGTCGGAATTAGTGACGGGAGATTTGTTCACGACGGGAGTTCACTCGGAATCTGTGATAGGCCTGTAAGTATTCTGGAATATCGCTGTAACCATCGCAGTGCAATTTTGGTGAAACTACGAAAATATAATCACTCTCAATTCCCAGGAACGTATGCATTCAAAGTATAGGCTACGGTCGTAACTATGTAAATAAATACATACATATGTATCCGAATTCAGTGATGGCACTTTTGAAGATTTCACGAAAAGTCTCCCTACAGTGGATTCAATGATAGCAATGGTTGCATAAATTACTTACGTGGTGCAACGTGCCGTTGCAGAAATGCCAATGTCTCGTTATATTTCCATCCACTGCCGTCCTTGTCATTGCAGCACTCCCAGAATGCGCTTTTCTTCCGCGTTCTTCCTTTACAAATCGGTCGCGAAGACACCTCCAGCGACTCTGACACTGCTCCACTGCCGATTAATTTTTGAAAACATTGGAAAGCACTCACAAGGTACGGGAAATGTCTAGTTATTAGTCTGTTCCAATAGCAGTCCGGTTTACAGGATTTAGTCAGAACTTACAGGAAGTCGTTCCTATTGACATAAAAACCTGTAAGTGGGAACACATTTGAGAGAGTAACTGAGCAACTGTTCCTAGTCAGAAGTTACAGGATTTAGTCCGGAGTATTTTTTCCTGTAAGTTCATGAAAAGTGTCAAACGATCAGCTGAGTTACATATCAGCTGATTTACAGAAAGCGGTGAAGTCAAATAAATTTATACATTTGTTAAAAAAATGGAAGTAAACAACGAATTATTGGAAAATGTAAGTATTTGTTTTTAAGTTAATACACTTTATTAATTGTTGATTTATCTTGAAGGCAAATCAGTGTGGTGCTAATGAAGATTCTGGAGGTGTGTGCGTTTTACACACAAGTAATGAAATATTCGAAGATGTAAGTAACGATTTATATTTTATCACATTGTTTTAACCGAAATCAGTTTATAATTTAGTCAAGAAGTTCTGGTAATGACCAGGAGGATTCCGAACATAACAACATTTTACATACAATTGTGGCAGAGCTCGTGGATTCATCAAGCGAATCAGACGACGAGATTTATCAACTGCTTGCTGGGAATTCTGACAGCGAAGATGCTGCTGTCATTGAACAAATTTTAAAAGTTACTCGACGAACACCCAGAAATTGTATAAAAAACTACTTTGAATGTGTAGTACCCACATACACCGACAAAGAATTTGTTACACATTTTCGTATTACGAGGGAGCTATTTAACAATTTAGCAATGAAATATGAGGGAAGCAACGTATATAGAAATCTGCGCTCCAATAAGAGGTTTTCAGCAGACAAAAGTTTAGCTTTGTTTCTGTGGTTTGCCGGCCATGAAGCGTGCAGTTTCCGCGACTTGGCCGACCGCTTCGATGTAACAATTTCTAGCGTTTCCCGTACGATTGAAAGACTGACAGTTTTCATTAGTAGAATGAGCCCAGAGTGCATTAAATGGCCCAGCACTCAGAGAAAGCAAGAAACCGCCAATTATTTCGCGAAGTTTGGATTTTCAAAAGCAATAGGTAAAAAATTTTAAAAATGATTGAATGTTATTTGTATTTATGAACTTTTCTATTTTAATATAAGGCTGTATAGATGGGACGCACATTGTAATTGACCCCCCTGCTGATCGCAAAGACGATTACATTGATAGAAAAGGCAACGTGACACTTGTAATGCAGGCAATTTGCGATGAAAGGAAGAAGTTTCTAAACGTTTTCATTGGATTTCCAGGATCAAGCCACGACAGTTGGGTTCTCCAAAACTCTCCCGTATTTAGGAATTTATCATTATTATGCGGAGGTAATGATTTGAAATCATAAATGTGTTCACGTGTATGTATATAAAGATGCGTATTTTGTAGACTATTATATACTAGGAGATTCGGCTTATCCTTGTAGTGACTATATAATAACACCATTCAAAGACAACGGACATTTAACTAGGGACCAAAAATATTTTAACATACAACTTAGCAAAGGCCGTGTTGTTGTAGAAAATTCGTTTGGCATATTAAAACAACGATTCAGGCAACTATACTACTGCAAATTGAGGGGAATGAAAAAGTTGTGCCATTTCATAGGAGCATGTTGCGTACTACATAATATTGCCAACGAAAACGATCTAGAGTTTATGGACGAACACATTAATAACGAATCCATTGGAGAAGTGCCCAGCAACGAACCAAATACAAGCAACCGAGTTCGAAACCAAATTTTATTTGAAATGCGTAGCAATAGACGTTAATAGAATTTTCTAAGTACTTCATTTATTTATGTAAACTTCAAAAAATAAAAAATAAAGTGATTTCTATACCTTAACCTATTGCTTCAATTAACACTTTGATGTGTAAAGGACTGGGCAGGCTGTCTGAAGGACCCAGTTGCAGAGCTGCTCTCCCTTCGTTTCTCATGTTCGAGTGGTGGTCGGAAAGAACGGGTTTCCGAGCCGCCACTTACTTCTACTGGAGCGCCCTCAGTCGTAGCTTCGTCCATCTCTACCTCCTCGACCTGCTGAGCCCATGACTTATAAGGCTCTTCTATGTGGATGGATAAGGCACCCTGGGAACTGTTGTCATCATCCTCTATATTGCGTGCTGGCTGCCTCCAATTATCGTTGGTCTCGATATGGAGCGAAGTATGATGCTTCTCACGGCACCTGTGACATCTGTCGGCGCTAGCACAATTTTCCAGACGGTGGAATGGCGAGAGGCAGTTCGGGCAGTAGCGGTGTATCAGGATCGCTCGCAGTCGTTCTTCTGCCGTCTTACCACGGTAGATGGGGCAAAGTCTTATGCCGTGGTCTTTGTCGCACAAGCGACAGGCGACTGGAAACTCCTCCGAGCTCCTCTCAGTTGTAGAGCGCAGAGCTGAGAATCGGGTCATTCTGCAATTTGTAGTATTTGGTTGACCAAAATTCTGCTTTGCTTTGAATTTATTATGGTTGGGTGGCAAGTGCTGGGTATTCATGCATTTGCTATCGTACATATGTATACAAATTTTACATAAAATATTTACATGCGTCTAACTCCTGCATTATAAATTCCCTATGTAGTGCCTGGTGTGGCCGTAGCGTTACTGTACTGCTATTCAGGATTTTTCTAAATGGCGCTCGTGATATTGAGCGACGTCCCAGTGTTATATTTGCGCGCGGGTGCCTTTGGAATTTAAGGTGCTAAGGTGTATATGTATGTTGAGGCATGAATATTATCTTATTTCGTGAGTTTTCATTTCTAATTCTTTATTTGTTTTATATCGATGCATAAACGTAATCATTTTTAAACTTCATAATTCATTCGGGGCTAATTCAATGCCACGCAGTGTATAATTAATTCGTGGCTAATTCAATGCCACGCAGTCTATACTGACAGAATAAATCGCCAATATCGTAGAAAATGGGTGAAAACATTATTGTGGGGTTTTGTTATTAAGCACCATAGCCTCCTACCCAAAAGAAAAAAAAATTCCCATTATTTTTCATAATGGTGCAAAACCTCACTAACCCGATTCCCAATAATGACGTATAATTGAATGGTTTTATACAGAGATGCTGTCATCAAAGAGCGTAGATTACACTTTATGCTCTGCACACTTAGAACGCGACTGACGACTGACCACACGACAATAGCGTTTTATCTGCATTATCTTTGCTCCCGTCGTCGGCTACTTGATTACAATGACTGCGCTAGCTACAACTTCTCCCGCCATATTTTATTTGACATTTGTGTTTTAAACGTATTTGCTGCGATTTCGTGAGAAAAATTTTATATTAATTTCGTTCCAATTTTCAATAAATATCTGGTAAATACGCATAAATCATTAATATTTTTCAAATCTTTCATATATATTATTATTGATTACAGGAATAATGAATAATCCCTTGCGTTTAATTCAATTTACGACTGCAATTGCTAAAATTGTACAAATTGTACATTTCGCTTATGAGGCGTACAGTGAGCTTAATAAAAACAGGAGAAGATGGTGGGTGCGTCCTGAATTTAACCTCCCTCCATGCAGCTTCCTTCTTTTTGATATTCTTATAATCCTCCAACTCCAAATTATAAATAATTGGACGCTTCCGAACTTCCTCAATTAATAATTCGTCGAAATCCATTTTAATTATCCAATTATTTATAAAAGCAAGGCGAATATTCAACAAGCACGCGCGAAATGTAAAGGAAAATAGAAGAACACAATGACAATTGTCCAAAAGAAGAAGAAGACAGCCTTTGTGGCTTGTCAAAATAGAATTAGATCTAATACGGCTACAGCTACAATTTTATCTATTTGTCGCGTAGCCCTGTCGTCGCCAAAATAATTATCTACATAAGAATACGTGGAAAAATAATTTGACAGCTGTGGTCCGTAGCTCGTCGTTTTCATTGTGTTCGGGCTC